CTCGTCCTCATCCTTCTCTTCCTCCTCCTCCTCCTCCTCCTCCTCCTCCTCGATCAGGCTTCTACCTGTTCTACTTAGATCGTCCGTGGCCTTCATCGCAGAGAACGCAACAGGCATCACGTCAGTCAATCAGTATCTCTTGGCAGCATCTTGTTTCCTCTTACCGATTCGAACGCATCAGCAGTCGATTTCAACGTCTTCAAGGCAGCGGATCTGAGCTCCAATCTTTGCTCTTCATTCATCTTGCTCTGCAGCTCTCGGCAAACAACCATGGCTTGCTCGACAACAAAGTCGTCGTCACAGGAGGCGACTCGTTGCAGGAGGACGTAACATTCCTGGAACCACCAGTAACATCAGCTCACAACATCAGCTCACAAGAGCAAAGTCAGGCAAGACCAACCTCTGAAACATCGAGTTCTGGTTGACATGCGAGCAATCTCAACAGCGAAATAATCTTCTCGACCCGCAAGAATCCTTCGCTGCGAGATGTGCGAACCCCTTGGGATGTGGTTTGCAGGATTTGAAGTTGATCGAGATCGAGATTGATCTCGCTGACAATCAATTCCACTAGAGATTCGTCTTTCTGCCTGCTGATCTCTTTTGTCTCCAGTCAACAGACTTGCAACTCGATACAGGGACAGCAAACCTGCTAGCGCGTCTGACGCAAGCTTCTTCAAGAATGAACTCTAAACAGAACAAAAGTGTTCACATGCAAAAGCAGAGAGAAGACGCAGAAGAAAGAGGATGAGAGAGATGGAGAGGTAACAGAGAGAGAGAGGGAGACGGGGCGAAGAGAGAGGCAGACGGGGAAGAGGGAAGCGGGAGAGGGAGGGAGGGAAGAGGAAGGGAAGGGTAGCTCGCAACCTCCTCATCCGATCTGATGACATCCTTCAACACCAAAAGAGCTTCCTCGTTATCAACCGCCAGCGTTAGATCCTGATAGCCAGGAGAGCATCTGAACGATCCTACCCACCAGCCCTCACGCAAAGACGGAAAGAAAGGAAGGTGCCAGTCACCTTGGACGAAGATGGCTCCCTGACCCTCCTGAGCTCCTCCTGTCAAGCTCATCAACAGGTGGACAAGGGAGGAGGAGATCGTCCGTGCCTTCAGCTGCGCTTCCCTTGCACTCTGCTCGCTCCTGTGGGCCGAGATGATCTTTCCGTGAAGTTTGACCAAGAAGTTGTTTTCAGCTCCCTCCTCCCCCTGCTCCTCCTCGTTGAATCTGATCGCAACCACCTCCCTTGCCATCTCTCGCTCATGTTCAGCATACCAAACTCCACTGATAAAGAGCTCTTGCATGCTGTGAGAGGAGGGGTCCTTGGAGTTCTGAATCAAGTCCTTCATGCTCTTGCTCCCCCTCCTGCCCTCAGGCAGCACCAAAACCCTCCCCACGCAATCTCTGTTGTCATTGTCGAACTGAAGCACGAATATGATGATGAACCATGGCTCTTCTCTGGAAGGAGAAGACTGCATGACAGCAGCAGCAGCAGCAGGATCAGAGGCAGGGGGTGGAGGGGGGGCGTCGGGGACTTCAATCTTGAACCTGAAGGAAGCCTCAAGCTTCATTCTGTATGTCATCACATCTTCTATCCAATCGGAGTCTTCTGCGATGATTGTTTTCCACTGTGTCAGATCTTTGCTGAGGAAGAGCGACGACCCTTCGAGTTCGACATGCACACGTTGCAAAGCTGCAGACGTGCCCTCGCCCTGCCATGCCATCAACTCATCATCGAGATGAAAGAATCGTTATGGTCACGATGAGGTCTGACCTCTCCGTTATGCTGTTGATACGACGAAGAGCGGAGGACTGAGATGCGAAAAGCTCCTCTCGGTCTATTGGTGAAGATTTCCATTCACAACATTGGGAGTCCTGGAGGGACTGATCAGAACAATCGATCCTCTCTCGCTTGTGTCACATGCTTCCCATCTCCATGTTCCCAGCACTGACCGCCTCTTCTACATGCTCATCTCCTGCTCCGTATCTTTCTCCTCCCTCCCTCGCTTCTCCACCTCCGTATCTTTCTCCTGCTCCGTATCCTTTCTAAACCCATGTTATCGGGACGATCCTTGCGACACACGGGTACTATTTCGAAGGTCAGAAGGGGGTGAGGGTAGTCACCCCCACCCCCCATCCAAATGAAAAAATTCAGTAAGAAGAGGGGGTATCACAGCGAAGTTTTCGGTTGAATATTGTTAGGGTGGGGTGTATGACCCTACCCTAGTCGATTCAATACTAAATGTATAGCTAGGTATGGGTGTACTGAATGACCCACCCAGCCCCAGGAATCAGGCCCGTTGCATATTGTCGCCATGGATCGGCGGGGAATGGTGGGGCCCGGGCTGAGGGGTCGGTTTGTGGCGTCGATGGCGCGAGAGATGATGAAAGATGTGATGAGAGAGAGGCTGAAAGAAGAGAAGTACAACGTTGACAGAGCAGCAAAGGCTACAAGAGAGATCGCAGACTCGATCAAGATGAAGTTGAAAGGTACGTGGAGAGAGGTATGGCTGTAATGGATCGTCGGAACGCTGACACTTTTGTTTTGAATGATTTCAGAATTTCATTGGGAGAGATACAAATATGTTGTGCAGGTTGTGATTGGGGAGCAGCGAGGAGAGGGAATACAGTGAGTGTTGTAGGATCGTGAATCATTTTTGCTGATATGCTCGTGACTCCCTCCAGGATGGGTTGTCGATGTTTCTGGGACGAAGATGCTGATAATTTTGCGCAAGCAAGCTACTCGAATGACAGCTTGTTTGCCACTGCAGTAGCTTTTGGCGTGTATCTTTATTGAATATTTACTATACAGCGATTTCTACTATGTCAGACTGTGATTAGGGAGGTATGGCAAGCATCAGTTTGCTTCATGAGTGAAAACATTCATAAAACTCCATGCGTTCGGCATCGCATCGATACTGCCAATGACGGTGAATGCATGCTAACGGATTCTGACAAATACCTGCTGATCATTAACACTCGATTTTCCATCCTAGCAGCATGCGATGCATTTTTCCTGCATCCCACCATTACGCTGATTGCGCGTTCAGCTGTAGGATACAAACTACCTTGATGTGCGGATGGTATCAACCATGTGCTTCTTGTTCTTCACGTCCACGTGGAATGCAAGCTTGTGCTCACGACAGAACCTGCACGAGATCGTGTCACTCGAACTTCTCAACTGGTACTGCTAACATACCTCGGGCTCCCGCTCCTTGGATCACCGAAGGCAGGAATCTTCTTGCAGTTCTGAGCCTCGCACAACCTGGAGCACGTGTGAGGGTGACGGCATGTCCTCATGCTGGTGAGATGAAAACCTGCGGAAGAGCTTGAAATCCGAGGGCCGCGATGGGAGGCGCAGAACCATGACTCAAGATGCATCGACCTTTGATCTTCCCCAGCACTCTTCGTGCTGTTGCCCACAGACCCGTAGGTGGCTCTACTGCTGCAGCCCTGCGCCATCGGGAGGTGACTCAGGGAGAAGGAGGACCTCAGTCAAGGCAACCTCGGGGAACATACAAATGCGATTCTTGAGATCGACTGTTCCCGGATGTCGATGCTCCGAACAGAAGCTAGAGCAGAGGCCTCAGTTTGAATCATGATGGAACCAACCTCCTTCACGTACAGCTTCAGCCGCTCCACAGGATCCCCGTAAGATGCGTAAGTAGTACAGTTCGCAACAATGCCTGACCAAACACCGTTACCATTTGAGAGGCATCAAAGTTCACCTACATCGTGTGGTGGACAAGCCGTAGACTGGTTCTCTGTTGGACTTTCTTCCGGCATGCAGCCTCCTGCCACCCCTCCGTGTCGCGTTGACTGTTGTCTGAGCTGAGATCGACTCATCCCGAGAGGTCTCGCTATTCCGGTCGGATCTGCAAGAAGTAGCTGAAACATCTGAGGTACATTCATCCACGGAAGTGCTCTTCGCAGTGCTGCTCTCAGCCTTGTCTGTTCGCAGCAAGGATTCTGTCTTCTCACTCTCCGAGCTCAAACTAGCCTTGGAAGATGCCACAGAGCTTGGAGGTACAATCTCTACCGCCCACTTGGACTCTTGACCGCGTCTTCTTTCATCAGAACCAGCTGCACGCTCCATACCAGCCGTCGCTAAGCCTGGCAGAGCAACGGCGCTGAAGGCGAGACGATGAGAGCTCCGGTGAGTCCTGCAGCTACATCAGCCAGCGAAACAAGCAACAATTTCACGTACCACAAGTCGCGTAGACGCTTTTGCAGAACAGCAAACACACGAAGGCTTCTCGACTGCATGAATCGAAATTACTGCAGAGTGGAGGAAATTAGAAGTCGAATCTTACTCCGGAAGGACTGGCGATGCTGCGAACTCTTGATCCGAAGAAGTTGAGACGTCTGCAATCTAGCATTCTCACCATCTTGACCTGACTATTACACATGTATGAACAATCCGTTCGTTGCAACTGAGGAGAACATGGTTTGAGCTGAGGTCTTGAGGGATTTGCTGCAAGAATCCTCGAGAAGCAGATCAGAAGAAAGCAGAGAGACACCGGAGCTCGACTGGCTTCCGATTTGAACATGCCGCTACTTGTGTTCCTTTACAGTCACATCTTTCGATATTTCATCAGCATCTGCGGAAAGCAACCATCATACAATGATCACTCATACATGATTCAGTCTTGTCTCATCACGACTTGTGTACCTCGCTCGGCTTCGTCAACATCTGAGAGAGAACGACCTTGTATCTCTGGTACCACATTCTTGCATCCTACAAGATTTTTCTTCCAATCACTGCTTCCTATGCTTGACATGGAAGGACAAAGGGTTGGATACTCTGAGTGCTACCATCTCTCTTCCTCTATCGCCATCGCTCCTCCCCCTCGCATCGCACCTCTCTCCTTTCCCACTTCTCTCCATTACTCCATTGACAGGAAGGTGGCGCATCACTGTAATAATTAGCTAAAAGATTAAACTTGGAAAACAATAGAATTAGGCAAACAGAGTTTCCGATACACCGGGGTCCGGGCCTGCCTCGGGCTACTAGAGGTTACTACGGATGACTTGACGGATGTAGCCTAGTAGTGAGATCGGACGTGAACATGCACGACAGAGAAGCTGACTGAGACGAGGCTTGTACCATGCCAGTGTCAAGACGGCATCAGTCGAGGCTTACTGATAGTAGGCTTCATAGTATATCAAGACATGTGACTTATTATGCTCGAAGTGCGGGTGATGTCTCCTTGGCATATTGTCAACACCTGACGAGCCTTGTCCTGCCAGGACGTGAGACAGAGACAGAGAGAGCATGAGTTATACATCACCTCCGACACTGAATGATTCCTCACCAGCCACAACACCTGCCGTCTTTGTCATCGTCTTGTCCTTCTTTTCCCCTCTCCTCCTCCTCCTCCTCCTCCTCCTCCTCCTCCTCCTCCTCCTCCTCCTCCTCCTCCTCCTCCTCCTCCTCCTCCTCCTCCTCCTCCTCCTCTGGAGCATTATCATTGTCATCATTGTCATCATGTTCATCATCGCTGCACCAGCTTTCAAACGTATTCATCCTTTTCTCGCATCGACTCATCGAACCTTGCTGTCCTCGTCGTCAGCTTCACTCTCCTCCAGAGTTTTTCTCTGCGGCACCTCCTGCTGCCTGACCTCCTGCGTCCCTCGTCACTCGCAGCAGATCTGCTAGCCGCTGCTCACCGTCTTCATCCTCGTCTCCAGCTTACTCGATCCTCGAAGTCTTGTCAAGCTTCTCCGGCTGACAGCGCATCGGATGTTCTGCTGCAATCGCACGATCATAGCCAAGTATCTCTGCACTCGCAAGTTCCGGAAGACATTTCTGGCCTTGTGGACGCGAAAGCTGGAGGGAGAAGGTCAGAGGGAGCTGCGGACGAGGACAGCATACGAGCGGGCCAGCACGTTGGCGGAGATATTGAGCATGGACTCAGAAACGATCTGAACAGCAGCAGCGTGTCACGTTGCCTCTCCCTCCTCCCTCTCTCACCCTATCGCACGCGCACACTGTGTTCCATACTGCTCGCCGCCTGCAGCAGCCTCGACGTCAGGAGGAGTGGAAGGGCAAGGGCACGTGGAGGTCACCTTGGGGAGGGGAGGCAGCTCAGCTGGTCAAGAAACTCCTCCGAGATGCTCCAGGTCGGAGTCCAGACGCTGCGCAGGGGTCACGAGAGAGAGGCTCGTCCTGCTGGTACCGCTCGAGCTGAGGGAGGTACTCCCTGACCATGCTCATTGTAGACGCCACGACCCTTCCCACTCGCTCTCGCCCGGGCTGTGGCGACCCCTCGCGGGGCTTCAAGCTTGAGACCATAACGTCCAGCTGCTCGGCTGCTCTGAGCCGGCGGACCTTCTCTTGCACCCTCGCGCTGCTGTCGACGCGGCGAGACACGTCGCGGATCAAGTCGGAGAGAGCTGAGGTGAGAGTGAGAGGGAGGATCAACGGGAGGAGGCGACCTGGACGAGGCTGCGAGGGAGACGTCTGCTGCTCCTGCCAACGAGAGATGCTGCGAGCGATGGTGAAGTGCCGAAGAGAGTCTCGCTCCCCACGAGCATCTTTTGAGAGGGTCGCCTCCTCCCTCTTCTCTGCCTCCTCCCAACCCGCAGGTCGGTGCGTCACAAACTCTTCTTTGTCCATCGTGAACACAGCTCTCCTCTCCTCCGCATGCTCTCCCTCTCTCCTACGCATCAACGAGAACTCGAGCGCCTGACGCGGCGACATGCTCGCCATCTTGGGGGAGACAGCAGAGAGCATCTGCGACACTTGCCTTCTCGCAAGCTCTTTAAGCCGAGTGACCTGAGCAACATCAGATCTCTTGGCAGTCCGTCTGATCTCACCGAGTCTCTCGACGCCTCTAGTGTCTTGGGCCTCGTGCTTGTGAGCACGTGCTCGACGAAGAACTCCCTCGCGTCCTCGTTCCTCAACGTGTCGCTCCCAGTCGCGCCGACTGTCCGACTGAGCATGAGCGAGGATTGAATGCCGACGAGGCGGCGGAAGGAAGAAGAGGAAGCGGCACGAAGTCTAGGGAAGGGAGACAAGCTTGCAACAGTCTCGGACGTCATGCCGCGATGATCCACAACGACTGCAGGCTGTCGTTGGACCTTCAACCTCCGCACTCTGTCGGCAGAGGAAGTCATGGGTTTGTGTTGTAGTTGGTAACGAAGTTTTTCCTCTTCCCTGGAGTATCGAAACATCTTCTCTCTCACCGATTCCATCTCACGATTATGTTGCTGCACAATCTTTGCTTTCCTTCTGTCATACTCCAACCTGATCGTTGCGATGTTTCCTTCAGAGCTGCCCACGTTACTCCCTCCCCCTTCTTCGCGTCCTAGCATGAGAGCCTCTATTTCTTCCAGCTCCTTGTCGACATCGTGTAAGTGACGTCTGAGCCGATCCTCGGACATGTGCATGCTTGACCGAAGGTCTGCTCTTGTCTTCTCACAAATCTGAATTCTCTCTTTGAGAGCATCGTCGTTGACAGTTGTCTTTCTGAGAGCATTGTTGTTGTGGTTCGAGCCGGTGGATTTCTCTCCATCCCTTGTCACATTCTCTGACTGTGTGTGAGCAAGGCCGGCTAGTGTCCGACAAGGCGAGCTCTGCTGCCAAGCCTCACGAGCTTCCGCAGGAGGCATCCATGCTTTCAGTCTGCAAGCCTCTCAGGTTACCCCTTGGATGATCCTCCCCTCCTCCTCCACCTCCTCCCCTCCTCCTACCCCTCCATGTCCACGTCACAGCGTGAGCACGGCAGCCATCGCAAGACGTTGGACAGGTGAAGTTCCATCTCCTCCTCCTTCCTGCTGAGCGTAAGGACAGTCACTGACCGCAAACCTCAACCTGTCCACGAGCTGAATCCGGTAGTCCTCTACCCTTATCGCCCCATCACCCGTAGCAGGCAGCAGCAGCAGCCCCCCGGGCAATACGATCAACTGCACCTTCAAGGGGCCCTGGCAGCTTGTGAGTGCAGAACAAGAAGGAGAGAAGAAGCAACATGAAAGACAGCAAACGGCTGTTGCGGTCGGAAGGTCCATCCCATGTTGGACTCTTGTACCATGCTGATGAACGACTTTGTCTTGATGTCTTCGTACAAACTATCATGAGCAGTCAGAACAGCACCAGCATGACTTCATCTGCCTTTCTCCACATCCGTGCTCGAGCTCCTCCACCATGGACTGATCGAGCAAGGAAGGCAGAGGAGCGATGGAGAGGTCGCGCAGCCGGCAGCGAAGCATGTTGGAACCAACTCTGAGGGCCAGGGAGCCCTCTAACAATCATCATCAGACTAGTCTAGCAGGCAGCAACATCACCAGACGATCTTTTGCCGCTCAGCTCTACGATCACATCTGTCTTCACGTTCCTCAAGTACATCAGGCCTGACTTGACAGCGTCAACCTCGTCGTACACGCACACCTTCACTTCACCTTCATCTGAGGGAGACATCTGATACAGCCAAGTCTCTTCCATGTCACTTCCCTTCATCCCAAGAGCTCTGTCCGTCAGCTCTTGTCCAGCTACATTCCTCCCCCCCTCCCCCCCTCTGCTTCCCCCCCCTTGCGGCAGTTGATTCATAGGCCCCGACACCAGTCCCTTCCCAGTACCTTTCCCTCCATTTACTCAAAGTTAAGCCCTCCCTCCCTCCCCTCTTTGCCCTTCCTGTACTCACCTGCCTCCAGCTGTTCGTGGTCCGCGCCACCTCCCTCCTCCTCCTCCTCCTCCTCCTCTTCCTTCTCCTCTTCCTTCTCCTCTTCCTTCTCCTCTTCCTTCCCCTTGTCTTGCAGGCAGTATCTGTATTTGTTTCTCGTGGATATCTCACTCGCTCGCTCCTCTACTTGTGCCCCCCTTGTCTCGCGGTGTTGGCTGGTTGGCTACCTGTCTTTCTCTCGACTTCTATTCAAGATGCGACGACGCCCTGCCTCTGCGGTTGAGAGGAGGATGGACGTGGAGGGACACGCGAGGCAGTCAGAGGGCGCGAGGAGAAGGCCGGCATCGGCAGTGCCAGCAGCTAAGAGCGAGGCTCCTCCTCCTCGAGGGTCAGCGAGACAGCGAGCGACACGTCCAGCGTCAGCCACCTTCTCGACCAGGACCCCTGACTTCATGGACCCTCCCTCCTCCCTCCCCCTTCGCCCAGCCTCCGCCTTTCGATTCTCGTCGAGGGAGGAGGCGCGAGGGGGGAGGAGGAGGCCGTCCTCTAGCCTGACGAGCTATCGCAAGGACCCAGCATGGGAGGCGATGGAGGCGAAAGAGGGCGGGCAGAGCTTCGCCTACACTCCCTTCTTCGACACGGTCGATGCGGAGGTCAAGAGCAAGATCGCTGACGGCAGCAACGCCCTCAGGCTCAAGATTCAGAGCGCCATGGCCAACCTTTACATGAGCAGAGACGAGCCGGAGGCGAGCACCGACGACCTCGTGTACCAGGACCTGACCAAGGAGATGACGCGGGACCTGCTGATAGCTCAGCTAGAGGACGAGATCCGGTACCTCCAGCTCGTCCAGACAGACCTCGAGCGCGAGAGAGTCGAAAGCCTGCAGGAGTTGCGAGCTCACAAGTGGAGGCTCTCGCACAAGCTGAGCAAGGTGGAGAAGCTCAACGTGTTCCTGCGGGAGACCATGATAACAGGCACCTTCGAGCCCACCAAGATGGATGAGATCGATCAGCACGCTGTCACGAGCTCTCATGACGGGCCCATCCCGCGCACCCTCCTGCTCCACGACGCCATCAACAAGAACAACCCGAACAAGCAGACCTTTCACCGCATCATCAACCCAACGCCCCTCCCCCTCTCCCTCTCCTCCCACACGCCCTTGCTCAACCTCTGGATCGCCTATGTCCCTGACGCCTCCTGCTTGACTCGCGAGACGTCGCTCAGGGCGCAGCTGGTGAAGCTGCAAGGTAGCGAGCTGGACACGATTCAGCACTGGAGGGACCTGAAGAGGATTCTGAGCTCAGGGGATCATCGGAGAAGGTTGAAGGCGATGGGATGCAGCGGAGTGATGGAGTTGATGACGAAGAAGGGGAAGCAACACAAGATGCACGCGAGCCTGTCGATGGAGATGTTGAAGAAGCACGCGGACAAGTCGAATCCTCTTGTGATCTCAGACAAGGCAAGTCAGCTGTCAGACGAGCAAACAGAGGAGAAGATTCACAACATGACTATCCTGACGGCGAAGTTGACGGAGAAGAATGGAGAGGGCAAGCTGCCGGCTGATGAGGAGGATGATCCAACGACCTTCGACGCAGTGCTGATGGAGCTGAACAATCAAAGCAGCAGGAATGCGGAGGCAGCGGCGGAGCACGCTGCTGAGGACGTGGCGGAAGGAGAGAACAGGGAGGGGCAGAACGCGGGGGTTGAGGGTCAGGGCTCGATAGATCTTTCTCTCTTCAAGGAGATCTTACAGAGCAAGGAGGGAGAGAAAGGCGGTGCCGTAGTGGTTCAAAAGCACAAAGACACTCGGCGAAGACAGACAGTACAGCAGCAGGTGCAGAGGTTGCTCCGGGGGCAGGAGGCTCTCAGCAAGTTCCAGGAGGTGGTGGCGTCGCTGGACCTGCAGACAAGGCTGGACATGATCGAGGAGGTGGCGAGCAACCTGGTGGGGGTGGGGATGGTGATCAGACTGATGGACGCCATGAGGAGGATAGTTCATGACTCTGGGGTCGACGAGACCCTCGTGCTTCTCAACCTCCAGCAGGCGATTATGCAGCTCGTGCACGCGGGGCACGTGCGGATGTGGCTGACGGACGAGAGGAACAGCAAGATATGGGAGTGGACGGCCAGCAACCCGGAGGGCCAGCAGCAGCGAAGCTTCACCAACGCAGAGGTAGCGAGCGGGGAGGAGAGCGTGCACGTGAGGAAGCGACAAGTGAAGCCCGGGATTGCTGCTGACGTGGCGAGGACGGGGATGGGAATCAACATTCCGTTCCCGGCCGTTCAGTCCAAGTCGTTCAGCATCGAGGTGGACAGACTGCAGGGGGAGAACGCGAGGACGATCATGTGCGAGCCCATCCGGCACGGGGGCCAAGTGGTTGCGGTGATCCAGTGCTACAACAAGGTCTCGCCATCAGGGGAGGAGCCGTTCACGCGAGTTGACGAGCTGCTGGTGCGCAGCATCGGGGAGCTTGCGGGGGGTCTCATCCACAAGTGCTCCCAGCTCAAGACCCTGCTGGAGGCGTCCAGGAAGGCTCTGCACGTGTCCTCGCTGACGCGGCACTACCCGTTCAACTACCAGGACCTCTTCCTCCTCGCCCACGCATACACGCGCGACATGATGGAGAGAGTTGAAGCGACGCACTGCCAGCTCTACGTCTCCTCCGTCCTGGACAACAACCGCAAGTTCCTGTGGTCCTTCTCTCCTGCTGGACTCGGCGAGCCCCTCGTGATCCCTCATGGCGTCGGCGTCGCGGGTTGGGTGGCAGAGCACGAGGAGGCGGTGAGGTCAGAGGACGTGCGAGCAGATCCGAGGTTTGCAGAGGAGGTCGACTTCGTGTACTTGAGCCTAAAGAAGCACAAGGAGGAGGGGGAGGAGGGGAAGGAGGAGACCCACGGGCTGCTGGCGCTGCCCTTGTTCAACCTCGACGGGTCGCTGCTGGGGGTCTGCAGCTTCATAGACAAGAAGGGGGGAGGGACGTTCACGGAGATGGACGAGCAGGTGACGCGAGTGAGCAAGCGAATGATGGAGATCGTCGTCAACACCTCCCTCGCCAACCACTCCCACTTCTTCGCGCAGGAGACGGTCTTCGAGGCGCTCTTCCAGCTCAAGCGCCTCACTGAGTGCGATCGCGCCATGCTGATGGTGAGCGAGACGAAGCGATCAAGCCGGATGAGGAAGAAGCAGCTGCGGCTGGCGGCTCACTCTGACTCATTCATCTACGAGAGGAAGGAGCAGAGCCTGAGCCTCCCCATCGCCGACGGTCTCTTCGGCTACGTAGCTCGCACTGGCTTTGACATCGTCATCCCAGACGCCCAGGTGGACCCGCGCTTCAACCGCCTGCTGGACAGGCAGCTGGACTACAGCACGACCTCGCTCATGTGCATCCCCGTTCCTCACCATGACAGCGAGGAGAGCATCCTCGGCGTCCTCGTGCTCTCCAACAAGTCCAACGCCCGCGCCTTCACCCCCATGGACATCGCGGCTGCGCACGTGATGCGCCGCTGCATCTCCTACTTGTACTCCAACTCCATCAAAGATAAACCGACGGGATGATGGTCAAGCGCAGCAGAGGAGGAGGAGGAGGGGAGGAGGAGAGGAGGAGGAGGAGGCGAAAGGCTTTAAAAGTTTGAGTTCTTGCCGATCTTGTCCAGAAGACGCGAATATCTGAGCAGACAAGTTGAGACGAGACGGCAATACATGTCATTTAGGATACCTCTCCTGCAAGCCCCCAGCTGTAGTCCAGCTGCTGCTCTGATCTTTCAAGAAGGTGTTTGAAAACTAGCAGACGATCAGAGCTGATATCGCAGGGTGTCAAAGTTTGAACCCGATCAGGTCGCGGACGATGAGCCAAGCTTGACAAGTTTGTCATGACTGGAAGGTGACGGTTGACCGGCTTGATGTCTTCATCTGTCCCATGATGACCGACCAGGCTGAAGCTGGAAGAGAGAAAGAATGGAGGAGGGAGGAGAAGCAGGAGAAGAGGAGCGAGAAAGAGGAGGATAGGCAGGAGAGACCTGGTGGTGCTGACATCATGCGATTGAGCTCATCGATGTCCTACGGAAAGAGACGATCAAGGCATGCCAGTCAGAAAGCAGGGCGCACCTGCATGAGCAGAGAGACGTCGCTCTTGAGCTCGTCGGATTCTTTCTTCAGGCTCTGGTTTTCTTGCAGGACGGATTCAAGTTTCCGACTGAGCTCGTCCTTGTCGGATTTGAGTTGCGAGTATTTCTTGTTTCTCTCCAACAACTGGGCATCATTGGTATCGGATCATTGGTATCGCCTCCAGCACGACACGAGGCACCTCAAACTGAAGGTTTTGTAAGTCCCGCTGGTACTGCCTGTCAAGGATTTGTCTGATAGCTCCTGGTTAAATGATTTTAACATGAGAACATGTCATTCACTGTTGATAGTAAAAATCTTCCGGCGACCTTGACGTCTGAAAAGCTGTCCCAAACTGCGACTTTAACACGCGATCATCTTCCTTTCAAGTCATCGAGCACGTAAACAAATTCACTACCTGCATCTGAGCCTGCAATCGATCGTTTGCGACGTTGTATCCCTTGGAATGCATATCAGTTGTAGGAGTGTAAGCAGTAGGATTCACCTTCAACTCCGCGTTCTCTTGCTTCAAACGATCTCGTTCTTGCACAACCTCCTCAAACTTTGCCCGCTCTTGATCTCGTTTCCTGACAAGTTTGTCGTACTTGACAAGGTCATCAGATGTTGCTCGGCTCCACAACAGGCTCACTTTTCTCTGAATCTTTTCTAGAACACTCGGATCGAGCCGAGAGCTCCCAACGTTCTCCAGCTTTCCCTCCAGGAGCTGAATCTTCTTCACCAGCAGCTGTTGCTCCTCGTCCTTCAACCTCAACTCTTCGCGCAGGTGCATGACCTGCTGCAAGTCAGGCAACTACCTTCATCCTCATCCTCTCCTACAAGCTCGTCGTCACGACTTCTCCTCGCCCGATCGTCTCTGCCATCGTGATGATCGTAGCCGTGCAGGTCTGAGGGAGGCAGGTAAACCCACGAGCAACGGCAGGTGAAGTCAACTTTGACTGGAGACCGACTGCTCCTCTTCGTATTGCTGAACGAAACGTCTGTCAGGCTCCAGCACCACGTCAAAGACAAAGTCTTGGGGGTCGCGTGAAAACTGAAGCTCCTGCAACTTACATCAGCGACAGAGTCTCCTCTCCTGATGCTATTAGCTTTCTGCCCCTTCTAACTCTCCTCTCCTCTCCTCTCCTCTCCTCTCCTCTCCTTCTCCACCCTCTCCTCTCTTCAGGCACTCACGATCGGCTCGTCGGCGGCGAAGTCTGAGAACAGCATCTTCAGCTGCTCAAGGCTGAGAACGTCGATGCTGCGACCAAAGACGCCTTCAAGAACATCCCCCACGTCGATCTGACAGCTGATGTGAACATGCCGCCTGCTGTTCTCTACTCCCTCCCCTCCACCCCTTCCCCCCCACCCCCCTTTGCTCTCCTCCTCCTCCTCCTTCCTACCTCCCTCGAACGCTGCGCAGGAGATCCGTCCAAGAGCGAGCTGACAACAAACATACGCCTGCTCCCTGTCAAAGAGCTATGCTCCTCGTCCTTGTCCTCGTCCTCGTCCTCGTCCTCGTCTCTGTTCCTCTTCATCTCCTCCACCACCACCAGCCCCATCCCGACATGCTCCCCTCGCCGTTGCGGCATTAGGACGTCAGTCAAGTTGACGAGGGAAAAAAAAAACTGGATCAACTTTGATAGAATGGTAAAACATGTGCGAGCATACAAACTCGCGTATTATAAAACATATGTACATCTAGCTACAAAAATCAACATTCCTCCTCCTCCTCCTCCTCCTCCTCCTCCTCCTCCTCCTTCCCTCTTGGCTCTCACAGTCTTGTGCCAGACAGCACGCGACCTCCTGAGATGAGCCCCATGGCCTTGGAGACGTTGAGCACCTGAGCCTTCTTCCAGCACTCGAAGGAGCTGCTGACCCACGTGAAGCCGACGCAGGCGCTGTCAATACTACACTCATGGCAACAGCTTCGCACGCTGTGACGAGTGTGAGGAACGAGAGGAGGGAGGAGGAGAGAGCAAAGCTTACCTGTAGGCTACGGTGTAACTGCCGATGTCCCTCCCCTTGAGGTCCGTGTTGTGCTTGACCTTGAAGAATGCGCCAGAGCAAAACCAGTTGGACTGGAGTGAAGGTTGAAAGATTTCAGTGAAATATGTGGGAACAATCTTGAAGAAAGACAACAATCATCATCTCATCATAACAACAACACTTTCATCATCATCATCATCATCTTCTTCTTCTTCAGCATCAGCATTGCCATCACCTTCTCTTTTTGCTTGCTGTTCATTGGTAACATGCTGGTCAAATTTGCGCGTAGAGCCGCTTCTTGTGCCGCTTCTTCTTCGCTACGATGGAGAGTCTTAGAGATAAGGCTCTGCTTGAACGCGACAGCTGGACCCGCAGCCTGAGCCTGCAGCTGCAGAAATTCCTGCGTGATAGACTGCTGGGCCTGAGCTGAAGGCTGCTGGGGCATGGCAAGCTGCTGGGCCTGAGCTGAAGGCTGCTGGGGCATGGCGAGCTGCTGAGCCTGAGCTGAAGGCTGCTGGGGCATGGCGAGCTGCTGAGCCTGAGCTGAAGGCTGCTGGAGCATGACGGGCTGCTGGGCCTGAGCTGAAGGCTGCTGGGGCATGGCGGGCTGCTGGGCCTGAGCTGAAGGCTGCTGGGGCATGACGGGCTGCTGGGCCTGAGCTGAAGGCTGCTGGGGCATGACGGGCTGCTGAGCCTGAGCTGAAGGCTGCTGGGGCATGACGGGCTGCTGGGCCTGAGCTGAAGGCTGCTGGGGCATGACGGGCTGCTGGGCCTGAGCTGAAGGCTGCTGGGGCATGACGGGCTGCTGGGCCTGAGCTTGAGGTTGGTTATTCACTTGCAGGCTCAGTCCGGTCCTGACAAATGCCGATCTCGCTCGCATCAGCGAGAACTCAACAGGCTTGCAGCTGATGGTGTCGTCTTGGAGGAACCACAAGCCGTTCTGCTTGGCATACGCCAGCCTGACCTCGAGGGAGAGGGAAGACAGAAAGTCGATGACGACAGGGATGACTTGTTTGCAAGTCCCGCCCAACTCCCACTGGAGGCCGAGGAACCATCGGCCCGATCGAAACCTGCAGGGATCAAGCGGCTGCGAGACGACGAGCCGTTCTTTCTCCATCTCCTGCGTCATCGACTGGTAGAGGTCGAGCAAGACGTCCGAAGCAGCGTCGGTCACTGTGCCCGCGATAGTCTCGTTCATCCCCCTCAAAACTCTCTTCCAGAAACACTTGGAGCCGTCTGACGAGTGTACCAGCACAAAGTCCAACCCCTTTCGCGATCGCCGATCCTCCAGGCTCACCATAGTGGCAGCAGACTGCACGAGCTCGTGGTCCCGAAGAGGGCTGCTGAGCCAGCCCATGTCGGGGGAGGTCAGCAAGACCTTGGGATGCAGGGAGAGCGCGGCGACGAGGAGCTTGATGCGAAAGACCAGATGGCTTTGCTCAGCTGCCTCCTGGCTCCTCCCCCTCCCGTCAAACTCCGGGTGTGAGAGTACGAGAATATTCAAGCGTTTGCCGTAGGCCGAGACTCTGGTAGCTGACTCATGGCTGGAAAGAACAAGCAGAGTCCTCTCGTGCACTCCCACCATCTCGAGGGTGTTGCATACCCAGGAGAGGAGAAAGATGACGTGAGAGTCCGGGACCACCAGCAGGATCAGAATGTCTTTGGGCATGAAGAGAACCTTGCTAGCAAGCCGTCGCTTCACTTCATCGTCTTCCTGCAAGGCGCTGCAGTAGGCTGGGACGACGAGTTGCGGCGATGAAGATGCCGATGGGTCTGGCACAGCATGGAAAGCAGGGGAGCCTGCCATTTGGCTTGCAAGTGGAGCAGCGAACTGCTGCGGAGGGAAGGGAGAGGCTTGAGAGAGGATGACGGGAGGTTGCAAGGAGGCCACCTGAGGCTGATAGAAAGCGCTTCCCCCTTGGAAGTAGTCTCGATTGGCCGGCATTCTCACATTTGCTCCTCCTGCAAGTCCCCCCCCCTGCTTCTCCATCTTCTCCTCGTATGCGTGAAGGTTCTTGGTGTACTGAAAGTTTACCATAGACGCCCTCGCAGCTCCTTCCTCCTTCACCTCATGCCCATCCCAGTCAAGAGCTGGGATGACATCCGGCCATACTGTCAACCGCGAGTCCCAGCTTGTTAGAAGCTGGAAGTCCTTTCCTCCCGCAACCTCATAGTGGAGCCCAGCCTCCCTCCAGTTGGCGACGAGCGTCTTCTCGTTGAAGAGCCAGGGGTACACGCAGTAGAGGCCTCGCTCGTGCATGAAGCGAATGTGCCACATCTCCCATATCGTCTCCGCTCGTCCTGTCTCGAGGAACGACAGGTACCACACGCTCGGTTGGATCCCCTCCACCACAGGCAGGAACCCTTGTACCCCCCGCACCTTCTCGTACCAGATCCTGAACTCTCTCCATACCCTGGGCTTCGGCGAGTAGCTCCAGGTACCCATCAGCTTGTACTTGAACACCGTGAACGTGTTGGGGATCGTGTTCCCCATCAGCCCCTCCTCCCTCGGGTCAGAGGCTCGCAGCTGAGCTCGCATGCCGCTGAAGCCTGCGACCGAATGATCCTTGGCGAACCGCTTGTGAGCGGCGAGGAACCAGCGAGCGAAGAAGGGGGAGACTTCAAGGTCATCTTCGAGGAAGATCGGGATCTTGTTCGAGTCGTGCGAGGACGGCTGCCAAGATTCGATCCAGTTCCCCATGATGCCGACGTGCGTCGACCACTGATGGAGCTCCTTGATACCCCAAGGCCAGTCCAAGCTCTCCACCACATAAGCGGTCTGCTGGTCAGGAGGCTGTCCGGGAAGTCGGTCTTGATGGACGTGAAGGTCGGCTCGTATCCCGTCGTAGTAGGCTGATCGCAGAGACTGCAAGAGCCTGGCGAGCGACTGAGGTCTGTTGCACGTCAACACGATGAGACGAAACCGGTAATCCGCATACGTATTCTTCATCTCCGGCAAGACAACCAGCGCTTGTCCGCTGCCACCTGAGCTCCCTGCAGTTGAGCCAATGGTATCTTGCGCGACTGGGGGAAAGTTGAGCTGTTGACTCTGAATCTCCATGCGCTTCATCAAGATGTCTTGGTGCTCTCGTGCCTTCACAGCTTCTGTCGCTACGCTGACACTGGCTGTCGGAACCTCTTTGACAAATGTCACAACATCTTTGACTTGCTCCACGTCTTCCTTGACAGGTCTGGCATCCTGCGTGATGCTCGGGGAGCTCGCACCTCGTCCATCACTGCCACTCAGCCTGACCTCTCGAGCCACAGGAGGAGAGTTCTTGTCCGTGCTCGTCCGAGAAACAGCGGCAAGCAGCGAAGCTTGAGAGGCAAGCAGCTCGCCCTTCTTGTGGCTCAGCTCCGCGTTCAACATCTCCCTGCGTAGCTGCTGTAGCAAAGCGTTCCTCTTCGAAGCTGCTCTACAAGCGTACACAGCAAACAGCGAGAAAGTGACGGTCTGAAGCGTGAGGAAAACAAAGAAAGTTTTCTTGAGCGTCCATTCGTCTCTTTTCGTCTTGGAAGAGCATGGGAGGAGAGAAGTCCAAGCTCGACCTCTGCTGACACATGCAGATGGAATCGCCTCTTTGATGATCGCCAGCACTCCCTCCGCTATCTCCTTCGCCGCCATGATCGTGCTTGAGTCGCCATCTTGCTGCTCCTCTCTCTCCTTTAGTCCTCTCTGCTCGGACATGCTTTGTTGAGGTACTGAAGACTAAGTCCCGAAGAATATCAAGCACATCGCTACCATGACCAAAACTGCTGAGGTTTACTAGATCGTGAAAATTGTGACCTGCAAGACATTGTTGTCCTGTATTGTCCTGCCCATACTTGATTCCTCTGTCTGTCTGTCTGTCTGTCTGTCTGTCTGTCTGTCTGTCTGTCTGTCTGTCTGTCTGTCTGTCTGTCTGTCTGTCTGTCTGTCTGTCTGTCTGTCTGTCTGTCTGTCTGTCTCTGTCTGTCTGTCTGTCTGTCTCTGTCTGTCTGTCTGTCTGTCTGTCTGTCTGTCTGTCTGTCTGTCTGTCTCTGTCTGTCTGTCTGTCTGTCTGTCTGTCTGTCTGTCTGTCTGTCTGTCTCTCCTCTTCCCTGCCTTCTATTTCCTCCCTTGTCCTTTACGCGCTCATGGTCAACAGTTGCTATTTTACTTAATTAATTGTCCTATTATTCTTGGTACTACATTCTTAGTACAGCACTATAGGAAATGTAATCGGGAGGCCGAAAATGCAGGCTCAGGACGAGTAGCAGGAGAAGGCGGGAAGGAGGAGGAGGAGGAGGGAGGAAGAGATAAGGAGTAGAGGAGGAGGGGGGAGGAGAAGGAGGGAGGAGAAGGAGGGAGGAAGAGAAAAGGAGTACAGGAGGAGGGGAGGGGGAAATGAAGGAGAAGGAGGGGAGCAGAGGCAAAAAGTGAAGAACTCAAGACAGAAGAGAAGAGGAGCAACACCTGAAATGGCTGGGGAGCGATCAGGGGACATGGAAGGAGAGGGCGAGAAGGACGTAAAGATGCGATCAGAATACTTTCATCACTCTTGCGTATCTTTCCTCATCCATATGTGGCAGAAGACCAGTCATGATTCGACTCGGAGCTCTCACTGCCCTGCTCTTAACCCTCCTCCCTTACTCTCTCGCCTTCTCCCATGCCGGAGGTTGGAGCTCATTGCGGTCACCATTCAGCAGGAGCGCGAGAGGAGGAGCGAGCAAGCATGAGGTGCTTGTTCCGCGTCTTCGATCGCCTCCTCGAGCAGCCTCCTCACTCACCTCTCCCTCCATGTCTGCCGTAGACGCGTCAGCAGCCAACCTGCTTGCCGAACAGATCTTTGGACAGGTAGGAGGTATCGGAAGTAGAGGGGAGCAGGGTTGAGGAACGGAGTTGGGGTGGCGATGGAAGGGAAGGACGGAGGGACGGAGGAGGAGGGAGGAGGAGGAGGGAGGAGGAGGAGGGAGGAGGAGGAGGGAGGAGGAGGAGGGAGGAGGAGGAGGTAACGGAGTCATTGCGCAGGTGGCGCTGGGAGGGGTTGGTATCATTCTCTCCGGCCTGGTTGGAGTTTTTGTTGTCGCTAGCCTCGTGAACCTGGAGGATGTGGAGGAAGACTTCCAGACTGCTATGAACAAGTGATACCTTCTACTGCTCCTGCTCCCCGTTGACGCGTCTTGCCGCAGAAAAAGTGTAGAATCCGAGAAGAAGGATCTTCCTGTTCCTGACATTGTCGACCTCGATATCTCATACGACTCCGAGGTAAGCAGCATTAGGAAGAGATGACGAAGGAGGGAGAGATGGGAGGGCACAGAGCGAAAGAGAGGGAGGCAACATGTGAGGAATGGAACGAGGGAGGAGGATTCGTCTGTTCATGTGATCTGCTGTCAGGTGAATTCCAGCAAGGACGAGAAGTGAAGACAATGAAATTGGCTAGTGCATGCAAAGATCGAAGAGGTTGAGCGTTGAAGTATTTACAAACAAGTGCCTCCCCCTCATCTATGCTTCACAAACTCGGGATAACTTGTTGCAGCAATCAATGCTTGCATCCAGTCCCTGGAAGTGTCCTGCTGCAAAGTTACAACTGCGCTCGCCGTACGTTCAATCTCACCGGGAATCCGTATCCGAGATAGACGATCCTTCCTGTCCCAAGGGGGATCTCGAACAAGACGGACGTGTCTTCCGCCTGCAGCTGGTTGAGGGAGCAAGGAAGCATGGGAAAGGAGGAACAAGGCAGGGGCGGGGTTACCTCGTAGTAGCTGATGGCGTTGCTGGGGAGAGAGGAGAGTCTGGCACCCACGACGGCCCCTGGTCCGGGGAACGTCGCGGCGAGCGACTCGAAGGGCGAGTTGACAACAGCAGGCTGGAAAGGGCATCAGCTCTGAAACAGCTGGGCGAGGAAGAGTCACCTGGGCCTCGAAAGGTCCGTCGACCGAGTTTGGCTCGAGGTTGAAACCGCCGTCAAGGGTAGCGATGTTGCCGTTGATGAACCAGAGGTTGCCAACGCCTCCGGTGACCACAACCGTGTTGCGACCTGAGAAGAAAAGCACCAAGGATGAGAGGTAAAAGAAGATAAGAGATCAAGGTTTAGAGTACAAGCTCACTCACCATCCCTCAAGTAGTGGTGCAGCCGGTAGAGGCCCCGCGCTCCAAGGATGGGGGCGGCAGCTCGAAAGGATGGGATGACGAGGACCGAATCAGTATTGCGGTAGAGAAATCGGAACTGAGAGCCGTCGAAGGAGCCGAGGAATCTGTTTCCTACCCACGCGTGGCTGCAATCATGCAGGTCGCACTTCTTTCCCATCGCCGTGTGCAGGCCCAACGTCTTTCTGATGATTTCGCCGCTTCGAAGCTCTTCGACCGTCTTGTCGGCATACAGGGTGACCTGAGCTGCATACGGGGGGCCTCTCTCTGGCCTCCACTCCCCCACTTGTCCATGATATGGGATGTTGAAGCCCTTGCTCCACTGGGGATAAGACTCGGTCAAACCATCGGAGTCCGGCGAATCGCCCGCAGGAGACTTGGGTCGCCGGTTCGCATCTGGAGCAAGAGGAGCCGCATTCTTCCCTCCCGGCGTCCCTCCGCTGCCACCAGCAGGCACGGAGTTTGTGTCTGCGGCAAAAGTTCACAGGAAACAAGAACAGGTAAAAACAGGTAAGAGTTACCTACGCTCAGTGGAGCCTCACTCACACCAGGTGTGCCCTTGGGAGCTGCTGCGGTCCCGGGGGATCCTGCGGTCCCGGGGGATCCTGCGGTTCCGGGGGATCCTGCGGTTCCGGGGGATCCTGCGGTCCCGGGGGATCCTGAGGTCCCGGGGGATCCTGCGGTTCCGGGTGCCCCAGGAGGTCCTGCAAGTCTGGTTACTCATGTGCTGATGAACGACAAGGCAAAACGTACCTGGGGGTCCATCAGCACCTGGTAGTCCTGGAGATCCGACAGGGCCAGGGGAGCCCTGAGCACCTGCGGGTCCAGCCTGCAAGACAAAGTGAGGGGAATTTCATGGGAGGAACACAACAATCACAGGCCCAACTTCTCCCGGAGATCCCTTGGCTCCATCAGCTCCCGGCAGCCCTGGGGGTCCCGGGGGACCTGCTCATTCATCATCAACCTCGATGATTGACCCTGTGAGCAGCTTGCCTGCGGGCCCTTCCCCTCCTGACTTTCCTGGTATCCCTGGCAGTCCTGCTTCTCCTCGCGGCCCCATCAGACCAGGATGTCCTCGTCCTGGGATGCCGGGAAGTCCAATGGGACCTTCTGGTCCTTGAGGACCTATGACAAATCGTTCAGCCAGCCATAGTGAGTGAGGAAGTTATACCGGGAGGTCCGGGGTTGCCTGGCCTTCCAATTCGCCCTCGAAGACCAGGCTCTCCGGCAGGGCCACCAGGTCCTCGTCGTCCTCGTCTTCCACGCTTTCCTGATTCTCCTTGGGGTCCAGGAGGGCCAGGAGGGCCGTACATGCCTGGCATCTTTAGAAGCAACGCGATCAATTGTGATGCCAACCAAGAGCAGAAAGTAGTTCGATGCTAACTCACCCCAGCTGGTCCCGCACTTCCAGCTGGTCCTGCAGGACCAGGAGGACCCATGGGACCAGGATCACCACGTGAGCCCTTTGATCCGCGTTGTCCACGTAATCCTACATCGCCCTTGGGGCCCGGGGGGCCGGGACCACCGGCTCGTCCAGGAAGTCCGGGTTCGCCTCGTGGTCCTGGGGAACCTTCCTTGCCAGGTTCACCTGGTGCGAAGGTCATCAACAAGGAGCAAGAGACTCTCGTCCTGCCTACCTGGTGGTCCTCGAGTTCCTTGACCTGCTGGCCCCTGGGGACCAACGGCACCTGCTGGGCCTTGTGGACCTTGGGGTCCAGGTTGCCCATCCTTGCCTTGGGGGCCAGGAGCACCATCTTGTCCTCTAGGGCCCATCTGCAGATGTCAAGTCACAAGACAAGACAGTTCCAGTAGCATCTTTTACCAGGCCAGGGGGTCCAGTAGGCCCTCGCTCGCCTGCTGGACCCACTTTTCCTGGGACTCCAGGCTCGCCTCTGGGTCCCATTCTTCCTGGACGACCAGGTGGGCCCACGATCGACTCTCCTGGCCTGCACCCAACACCTTCAGTTCAATCGAGCACGCTCCTGATGATCTCGTACCTTCCCGGCTCACCGTCCTTGCCAGGAGTTCCGTCTTCTCCTGCTGGGCCTTCTGGACCCGGAGGACCCGGAGGGCCTTCTCTCGCCGCCGATTGCAATGAGAGCTTGAGTTGCAGATTGTCGATCAGTCCTTGCAGATTACGCAAAACAGAAGTGATCTGGTTGGGAACTTGAACCTGCACCTGCTGGACAGGAGCTGGCTGCACATACGCCCCAACAGGTGCCTGTACCACAGGCACAGGAGGGGGAGGGAGTGGCTGGATGACGGTTGCATGCTTCAACGAAGCGATGAGATTACGATCAAGGTCGTCAACGCCTTGGAGAGTCTTCCAGTCATTCTCCATCCCTTCCTCTTGATCGCATGGCAAGACGTTGTTCATCCCAGAAAGGGCACAATTGGTCCGAATCCTGATCTGAGCAAGCTGCGGTTTTGGTGCCGACGTGAGGTGATGAGGAGTAAGGGGTGCGCTCCTCATAGAGTGCAATCGTCCATGCTCTCTTAACTCCTTTTGACTCTCCTGAGGCCTATCATCCGATCCCCGGGAGCGGATCAAGGACTTCAGCTGCTTCAGCAGTCGATCACGAGTGACCGACTGGACAGGCTGCAGTAGCTGGTGTTTCATCTTGTTGGCAGTTCCATGATAAGGTCTTGCACGCCCAAGGCTCTTCTCAGCCGGTCTTTCAGCAAACCGCGAGAAGAATGCAAGCCCATCATCTTTCCTTTCAACCTGAACCTTGGAATTGTGACCATACACTCGAAAGCGAGCAATCACAAAGCTTACCAGATCCGTACTCTTGGGGCTTGGAGAGAGCACAAGCAGAATCAACAAAGAGCAAGCAATGATAGTCATCGCAAGAGGATACTTCAGCTTCCTCTGCCAGCTCGCGGACCGTCCTAGCAGAGAGACCGTTTCCCCGCTCCTGACACCAGTTGGTAGAGGTTGAGCAAGACGAGATGGCATGAAGAAGCTGTCGTTGTGTCTGGTTTGTCTTTCCTTGTCTCTTCCACCCATCCACCTCCGCTTCTCCTCTCCTCCTCGTTCTCCCTTCTCCTCCTCCTCCTCCCGTCGAGGCGCCAGGCCAGGTACCATGGCGCCTCTTCGCTCACCAACCAAGATCAGTCAACAGATATTTTAATGGTAAAACTTTGTTTAATTTAACACTAATATAACTATTAACGTTGAATTGAAACTTTTCAATTTCGATCTTTGTTTTGAAATTTTTAAGCAAATGTTCGATCATTTGAAAACTTTCTGAGGAGCCTAGGGGGTGGGGTGTGAATAGGGGGTGGGGTCCGATTGATAGTGGAAGATGAGGGGTGGTAGGTAGGAGGAACTGTGGGGAACTCACGTGGAGGTATGTCGGGACATCACTGCGAAAAAGGGTAGGGGTGATGCTAGGAATGAAGCAGGGTAGGTGGGGGTGATTGTGGTAGGCTTCAGCGGGAAATGGCGGGAGTGTTCAGTGCAGTGGAGGAGAGGAGAGGAGAGGAGAGGAGAGGAGAGTGGAGGCAAGGAGATAAGGATATAAGTAGAAATGAAAGAGCAGACGAGAAAAGTGAGGCGAGGAAGATTAGGAGAGGGGAGAGGAGGATATGGGAGGAAGAAACAAGGATGAACGGATTTTGGTATGGGTAGGGTGATCCTAAGACGACAGAGGAAGAGCTTGACGAAGGGAGTGAGTATATCACCCAAGATGACAGAGGAAGAGCTTGACGAAGGGAGTGAGTATAACCAAGAAGGTAGATGGTGAAGCCTAGAATTCAAGACAAGGGATGAGATCCAAATATCGAGAGAGCCATGAGATGAAATCCAGGGGAGATGAAGGATCTTGAGGATTTTGACTCAGGACGACGAAAAGAGAAAAAGAGGACAGATAGAGTGCACGAGGACAACGAGAAGTGAAGAGGAGTAATTAAAGCCTGGATACGGAAGGAAGTGAAGAAATGACACAAAAAGGAAGCAGAGGAGGGGAGCAATAAGAGCTTAGGATAAAAGAAGAAACTGAAAGCTGAGGTACGCACACACATAAAATTCCGATTGAACAGAAGAAAATTGCAATGAACCTTGAGGAAGTTGAAAATTTCACGAGAGACTCAGTTTTGTCACGTGTTAAAAAGGGATAGGATCCTTTTCTTTGAGGCAACAGAGGCAGAGTTATCAAGTGTGCTGACAAGCAAACGAGCATAAGCGCGCAGATAGCCAAAAAACGAATGGTGGTTGACAGTCAAATTCATGAAAGACCTTGTTTCGACAAATAAGGATGCGAGGCATTAGTGGAATGTAAGCATATGACAGAAGATGCAAGTCAAGCCTGGTGGATCAACTGATTGACTTGGCTGACGCGTTCTGTTTTCAGAACTACATCAGCGTACAAATAAGTTTGCTTGCAACAGATTGCACTTTGGGCAATCGTTAGTCCACGACGCTCAGTCGGTGCTCCACATGGAATAGTGTAGATCTGATTCCAGAGATCTGTTGGTGCTGCACAGCTGTTGTGCATTACTGCTCGAGTTGGTTTGACGACCCGACTGCATCATAGGACCAAGTAGTACAGGGGAGGTAGGCAAAGGTCGAACTAAAGCACAATGGAATGGACGTATGAAATGCGAAGGGAAATGTAAGATTTTTGATTTTTTGTGCCTTCATTCGCTGACATTCTTTGTAGGCAAGAGGTAATTGACTTGACGTGTAGAACCTTGTACTTATCAGAATCATAAGATTGTTCCGAGTCTCTTCTTGGGTCCATACGGAGCAGCAAAAGACATCGACGAGTAAGTTCCAACCCGACACAACCGGTCAGCATGATGACCCATGATATTCAGGCTGAAGAAGAGAGGGATAACTCACATCCTGATAGTGCGATCAACCCTCGAAAGGCGATTGGATCCGAAATTTCCGACTCTGATTCATTATCACATAGTAGAGGTTCGAGGTGTTACCGTCACAACAGCAGAAGCTGATATCATGCAGGTTCCTGAAGGACCAACAGAGAATTTGATTTTGTATTTCACTGAGTGCAATGCATGCATCAAGAATGCGATTGAAAGTGGCGGGAAGATCTTAGTGCATTGTAATGCAGGTTTCATCGACATGTCGGGTGGAGTAATGTCTGATGACTGGCTGTTGTTTTTAGGGTTGTCACGATCAGCTGCCGTTGTTGTTGCATATGTAAGGCTTAATGTATGCACACTGATGACGCTGACATTTGCTTTTGCAGGTCATGGAGAGTTTAAAGATGTGAGCTCGCATGGATATGATGCCACGACGACTGGATGGTTTGACTGGTTGACAGGCCATTCGCTGATGCCATTCAGCTTGTACAGAGCAGGAGGTGCTGTATTCACATAAGTGAAGCCCTTCATAACCAGGTTGGTCAAGTTGCCAATCTTGCTAGCCTATGCTTATTTGAGGCAGTTAAGAGAGTTCGAAACCATTTATCAAAACAGGCAAGCGGCGCCGGAGCGAATAGGATGGGAGGCGAAGAAGAGACATCTGGAAGCGGGAGCGGAGGATTCGAACATGCACATGGAGTAACGAGGACCAATTTCTTTCTTCCTTCTTTGTGTTTCTTCTGAGGTAAAGTCAAACTCTGTGACTGCATTACATCTGCGCAAGAGGCATGCCAGGGAACTCAACAGAGGAGTCGACGAAACTCTTTGAAACTTGGTCGAGCTCTTCCATATCCTCAACGCTCAGCCGCCATCCGAGAGCTCCACAATTTTCCTCTGCCTGCCTCTCGTTCCTCGCGCCAGGGATTGGGATCACGTCTTTGCAGATCAACCAGTTGAGCGCTACTTGGCTGCACGTCTTCCCCTCCTTCTCTCCGATTCTCTTCAAGGCTGAAAGGAGCGGATCAACTTTGTCCATTCTCTGCTCGAAGATTCTCCCTCGAGGTCCGCTGGGTAAATTCGTGCTCGAGTATCGCCCTGTCAGGCATCCCTGAGCCAGCGGCGAGTAGGCTAGGATCTTCACCCCGAGCTCATCGCATGCTTCCTTGACTCCATTCATCTCTGGCGTGCGATGCAGCAGGCTGTACTGGATCTGGTTGGTTGCGAGTGGTATGTCTCGCTCCTTCAGGAGCTTGTGAACAGCTCGCAGGCGCTTGGCGGAGTAGTTACTCACTCCGACACTCCTCACCAGTCCAGCATCGTAGGCGTCCGCCAAACCGTCCCAGAACTGACGGTCCGAGAAGAAACCAGGCCAGTGCAGCTGGTACAGGTCACATCGGTCGGTTCCTAGACGCTCCAAGGAAGCACGGAGAGCCCTGGCCACTGCCTTCCTGCCATCCAAGAATCTGTTGGGCAGAGGAGCAAACTTGGTCGCCACAATGAGCTCCTGCGCCGTCTCAGTCAGGATCACCACCGCTTCTCCCGCGTGCGCACCATATCAGTCTTGTCCGCACACTCCCGCGCAAATTTCCCGCAGAGCGTCTGAGCTGCTGGTCACTGAACTACTCGACCTTCAAGAACAGATCAAATAAACCTCGCTGTGTCCCCAACCAGTTCCGATCCCATAGACTTCCGCCGTCTGCAGCATTTGTTGAAGTCAACAGGAGTAAGGAGAGCGAGCAGCATCACATCGAAGAGGTTCACTCCGCAAGCCACAGCTTTGTCGAAGCCTTTCTGAGCTTCCTGCTCTTGTGAGTCGTCATATCCCCAGAATACTCTGCAGCGAGTGTCATCCTTGGGACTTCTCCTCCCCCCTCTACCTGTCACCCCACGCCCATGCTCCAACGCCCATACGGCTCACTTTCAAATCCCCGGGAAGCACAATCTAACACCATAGAGGATCTCGTGAACACCACATATTATAAGCAATGCATGAATGCAAATTATCACAGGAACCATGCACGCTTGGCCCTTATGTCTAATTCTACTCACCATCTCCTCCTTCACCCCGGTATCCCCCATCTTCACAGACAAGGGAGTATTGCACAATGTTCTGTTGACAAAGACGTCACGAGAAGAAACAATGTGACACTATCCCGACCTTGGCTTCCATCGGGCTTCACTCCTTCCTACAAAAGGATTGGCTGCGAAAAAATGTAAGGCGGCTGAAGGATTCATGGCTGATCAAGCACCAAGTCTGACAGATGGGACATAGAATGCTTGTGTTGGAGCCAACAATTGCAAGAAAAGGATGCAAGCACTGAGACAAGTTTTGAGTCAGAAAGAGTTTGTCATGAGCCCTCGCGATCCTCCTGCTCACATTCGCGTTTGCATTGCCTGGCGTACTTTATGTGTCTGTAAAAGAAACAAAAACAATTAAAAAAACATTAAAAAAGTTGGACACTGGGGTGGGGGTATATAATTCATAAGAAGGGGTTGTTTGTGGTTCTTTCAGAGGTAGATGGAGGGGGTAGGAGCTTGCATACATGCTAAGTTATTGAGCAGGGGTGGTAGTGAGGGTGGGGTGGTAGCTCGGTTGTTTGTGCGCGATGTGGTGTAAACAAAGGTCGAGGGTGGGGGTAATTCATGGACTAAATTGGGGTAGGGGTAGTCAACTCAGATGTTGTAAGCAATAGTACCGGTATTTTTCTGTGTTAAAGTGTGGGTCAGGGTACATGACACGTAGGTCATATGGGGGTAGGGAGGAAGAGGTCGGGTGGGTCTAGGTCTGAGAATGCAGGGGGAGAAAAGCAGAAAGATGCGCGGGAGAGGCAGAGGAGGAGGAGAAGCAGACATGGCGATGCGATGATGTCGTAGAGATAATGATTGATAAACCCATGCTCGCAGTTCGAAACTTGGAGTGAATGCACATTCATGAATTTTCTAGAAAACAGAGTGAAAGAGGTGGAAGAACGAGGTGGGGGAACATGAGTCATGAGAGTCTTGGTATGAGCAGTAGCAGCTCCAAGTCCGCCATAATGGTGAAAATGCTACAAAGAATGCTTGGACATGCTGTGGGCGAATGAGATTTTCCTAATTCAATGAATGTAGTAGCTGAAATGAAATAATTTTTTAACGCAATTGAATTTCCTTGTTCCTCTCAGGTTCAGAGCAAATGTTTCCAAGATCTCTCCGGAATGCAGCAAGCAAGATTATCGGCACTTGTCGCTCTGTTGAGATCAATGCAGTTTCAAATGAATTCGGAAGGAAACTGAACTCGAGATCCTTTTCTCAAGCCGCCGCACCAGCCAAGACCAAGCTCGAGAGTCTCCGCGAGACACTGCAAAGTGACAGCAGGTCCCATCTTGTTGTTAGACTCCTGCCCTTGTATGCGCTTTGCCTTTGAGGGCTTGACTGTCTTCGAAAATTGTTTGTACTCTTGTCTTTGTGTATCCTCTGACGTACAGGGTTTACTGTCTTCGAATTCTGACTGCGTATGTCTAGAGATGTCATGGACTTTGTGGCTGGCAGCTCGAGCCAGCAGCGTGAGGAAGTGGCAGCCGAGACTGGAGCAGCAGTGAAGAACAGAGAGGAAGAGATGCATCGAAGCGTGTTGGGACAGCTGAAGCCGGATTACGTCAAGGTTTGTCCCGACTCGGTTGTCGTCCACCATCGCTCACTCGTCACTTAAGGCCGATGGCTCGTTCCAGCGTCTGCGATCCATCGTTCGCGATCCTGAGTTCCGCAAGGTCAAGGAATCTCTCAAGGGTCTCAATCTCACGACGGTGAGATGCTAGCAGCTGAATTCCTCCTTTGCTCATTCTTGTCCTCCTCAGGTGTGTGAAGAGGCCAAGTGCCCCAACATCGGTGAGTGTTGGGGGGGACTGGAGGGAACTGCGACGGCAACGATCATGGTTGTTTGGGATCTCCCGCCAACAGGCTCTTGTGCTCACTTTGGTCTCCTTTCCCACAGCTGATGGGCGATACCTGCACCCGTGGCTGCAAGTTCTGTCACATCAAGACTTCACGCGCCCCTCCCCCGGTCGACGAGGACGAACCTCGAAAGGTAAGAGATGTCAGACGAGCCTTGACGCGTCTGACCAGCATCTCAACGTGCAGGTTGCTGAGGCCATCAGCAAGTGGGGGCTTGACTACGTTGTTCTCACGTCAGTGGACAGGTAACATTGGCTGAGCTTCGTTGCCCTGCAGATGAGCCTTCAACTGACATACCAACTTTCTCTTGTGGTCGGTAGAGATGATATGCCTGATGGAGGTGCTGGCCATTTCGCTCGAACCATTTCCACGTTGAAAGATCTCAACTCGAAAGTGAAGGTAACCCTTCACAGCAGCCGGCATTGGCCTCTCGTTAAGAGGTGCGACAGATTGAGGCGCTGGTGAGCGACTTTCAAGGAAACGAGGCGTGTGTCAAGTATCCTCTTATCTCCTGCGCTTGTGCGCTGTGACTGGTTACAAGGACTGTCGTTGATTCGGGTCTCGATGTGTATGCGCACAACATCGAGACAGTAGAGAGACTGCAGGGAAGGGTAAGGGAGAAACGCGTCTTGCTCGCTCAACTCAATGCTTCTTCAACCAGGTTCGCGATCATAGAGCGGGCTACAAGCAGAGCCTCAAGACGCTGGAATACGCGAAGAGGTGAGACTGACATGATGCCTGAAGAAGTTGAAATGAGACCCCCGTTGACCAGCCTCCGGCAAGACCTGGTCACCAAGAGCAGGTAACGAGGAAGGATGAGAGTGGGGGATGGTGACTTGGTTCACAGCATCATGCTCGGAGTTGGCGAGAAGGATGAAGAAGTCTTTCAGGCCATGCGTGACCTCAGGTGAGAGCGCTCCACTTGTGCGAGTACTTCAGACGTGCTTTGATGGTGACATGCTGCAATCAGGTCTGTTGGAGTCGAGATTCTGACCTTCGGACAATACTTGAGGCCCTCGCGAAGGTTTTCACGGGACGAGCAGGACAAGCTAGAGAGACCAACCTTGATTGCAGGCACATGAGGGTGTACGAGTATGTTCCCATGGACAAGTACGACTACTGGAAGAGGTGCCAGCATCATGCTCTGTAGGTCTCACACTCAAACGTCTGCCTAACAGGGAGGGGGAGGCCCTCGGCTTCGCCTTTGTTGCCAGTGGCCCGCTGGTTCGATCCTCCTACAAAGCCGGTGGATGAGGAGACTCGGGAGTCGCGGGGAGCATGACAGTTTGCTACAGGTGAATTCTTCATCAGTGCGATGCTCAACGAGCGGAGAAAGGCTGCTGCGGCATAATCTAGTCTCCACATTAAACGCTCCAAGTCCTAATCGGCCCGCACCTTCCCAGCCCGGCCGAGTGAGTGGTGGAGTGGTAACCCGGTGACCCGTGAGTGCCGCCGGGCCACCGGACGGCCGCCGGCGGTGGCCCGATGAGTACTCAACTTCTCATCAGTCTTTGGCCGCGATTAAAAAAGCGACTGCTGGCATTTGGCTGCGCTCAGTGGTGAGCTAGGAAGGCTGCTAGGAAGGGAGCTAGGATCGTAGAGGAGGGAGGGGATGGGAGAGAGGGAGAGACTGGAAACGAAAAACTGAAAGGAGAGAGAGTAGCAGCGACAGGCGATCATAGGGAGGGAGGAAGAAGACAAGGCAAGAACAGGACTAGAGAGTGTAGATGAACATTCATTTTCACACAAGTTCTCACAAGCTCTTCATCCTTTCAAGCATGAACAGAAAAGAAACTCATGTCATGAGATAGAGGGCGTCGAGACTTTTACTAGATTTGAAGACCCCCTGCTTGCAACATCCACACGCAGACTTTGTCAGAATGAGATATCAATCATACACAAAGTCAAGTTGGGATATCAATCTGTGAGATGAATAGAGCGCAGCGGGTCGATAAAGTTTCGAACGTTGGTAGAGTACAGGCGAGGCAATTCTATTCCTTGAGGGTGCTTGAGATGAGATTCAGGAGGGACTCACTGACGCGTGCAGGGGGTAATGAACAAGTCAAGGAAGAGGAGAGAGCGAAGTGAGGACGAGCACAAGCCCTCGGTAGAGGCGGAAGAGCAGGGAAGGGACATGTGTCGCATGCCGATAGACTTTGACAAGGTAAAGAAAGCGTTTGATCGGGATGGGCTTGTGATCGTTCCAATCCTCACCGCCGACCAATGTGACGAGCTCATACTTGAGCAATGGCGCAACATCATTCTGCAACAACCTTGGAAGGAGGAGCACAGGATCCGAATCCATGGCAGTGACGGGAGACTGCTGGACTTGAAGTTGCCGGATGACCGGAGAGAGTTTCTTGACATCGTGAAGAAGCCTCTGTCGAAGCAGAGACGAGAAGAGTTTGAGCAAGGCTGGTGCCTGCACAGAGGGTTTGGCGCATGCTGCGATCCGCAGTCCTTTCACTCCCCTCTGGTGTGGGCGATCAGGCAGGACCCGCTGCTCTACCGGCTCGCTTCCACCATCTTAGACAGGAAGGAGCTGTGGGTGGACATCAACCGCTCCATCCAGAAGCTGCCGGGGCAGGGAGAGAAGAAGTTTCTGCACTGGGACAACAATCCCTTTGCAGTCAGTGACGCGCAGGTCAAGGTTGACAGTGTGTGTGGGAAGGTTTGCTACACGTCCTCACGCTTTGTAGCTGTGCTGGGCACTCACACGCCTGAGTTCCACAAGGAGTTCAGAGAGACTTACGGCAGGTTGTACCCGCACGTGAAGGAGAGCGACAGCAAGTTTGCGCTCGATCATCAGAAAGAAGATCCTCTCCTCCTCTTTCAGCGACAGCAGACCCTCCCCGTCCCTGCCGGCTCCCTCGTCTTTTGGCATCCCCAGCTGCTGCATGGCCAAGCCAAGACCCCTCTCAACGACCCGACGGAGTACGGGTGCTACCTCGGCTACTTCCCGGCTGGCGCCCGAGCTGCTTACAAGCAAAAGTGCGGTGTGGATGAGCTGGAAGACCGACTGTCTTCCTACGAGCTGGGTAAGGCGCCAAAGCTGTGGCCGAGTTTGGACGCCATTCACTTCTTTCCCAAGAGGTTCCTCAACTTCCCTAAGATCCTTGAGAGCTACGTCAACAAGCTTCCTCCCGGCCACCCTTGGATCAAAACGAGAAGAACCTTGAAAGGCAGTGAAGCCCTCACGCTTGAGCCTGTGCTCGACCCCCAGTACTCGCCCCCCCCTCTCTCCTCGCTCGGTCAGCTGCTACTTGGCAAGAAGCCTTGGTCCGGCCAGAATGACGACGTACAAGGCGACCAGTCGTGCAAGAAGAAACGGAAGAAGGCTCAGGAGCCTCGAGGCGCCATGGACGAGGTCATGGGAGGGGGAGCAGGCGGGGAGGGAGGGTGCGGCTACAACAGTCTGAGCGTGGAGGCGAGGAGGCTCGACTGTCTTGGCAACAAGGTTCTGCTGGTCACGAAGGAGCAGCGGGGCTACGGGCTGCGAACAGACTTGGAGGTTTACGCGCAGGGGCTGGAGGAGCTCAAGTGGGAGGTCAGGAAGCAGGAGCTCGTGCGGCTGACGGCCGGAGAAGCTGGTGGACGCAAGAGACCGCATCCTTCACTCGCAGAGCTGAGGGAGAACTTGAGATGGTGCAACGTGATGGTCGGGTTCGAGTACCTGGGCGACAGCAGCACGTGGACGGCAATCGAGGAAGAGCAGAAGCAGCGGAAAGAGGACGGCGGAAGGAGGATGAAGATAGTATTTGTACCTAACCTCGAGTATTGCAAGGAGAGCAACGAGGCGACGAGCGACACGATGAAGCATCTGAAGCAAGTGGATGTGATAGTCGCCAAGACTGAATGTGTCTTTCACCGCCTTCACCGCCTCTTCCTCCTCCGAAAGTTTTCAAGTGGTCTAGGCAATCTGCTCCTCATCCCCCACACGTCGATGCTGCAGGTGCCGGCGATCGAGAGAGACACGAGGAGGAGGAAGGGAATCATTCACTTTCACGGGTTCTCCAAGTCCAAGAACTCCCTCGAGAACTGCAAGGCTGCTTCCATCCTTCTCCGCCGTCACCCTCAAGTTTTTGACCGCCTGGTCGTCAAGTGCTCAAGGGCTGGAGGCTGTAAAGTGTGCGACAAGATCCGTCGAGCTCTGGGAGAAGAGCCAAAGCTTCACTTCATAGAGCAAGAGCTCAGCGACGAGGGCAAGTTCTCTCTCTACAACTCCTGCAGACTCGCCTTGTGCGCCTCCTCCTCCGAAGGCTTCGGCCATCACGTGCTGGAGGCCGCGGCCTTGGGCTGCCAGGTGGTGACGACGGACGGGATGCCGATGAGGAGCATCCTGAGGCATCAGGTGGCGCTCGCAAGGCCGCAAGACGAGAGAGGGAGGAGCGTCAACCTGGGCTTGACCTTCACTGTGCGGAGCCAAGAGATCGTAAGAGCCGCGGAGGTTCTGCTGCAAAAGACGTACAAGCCCGAGGCCTGCCAGCAGAACCTGCTCCTCCGCATCCGAGACTTCCGCGAACATCTCAACCACCTCGTCCGCCTTCGCTCGCATCCCTCCTCTCCACCATCCTGCTCGTGCTCTCAGCATCGTGAGCCCATCTTGGATATCGCAAAGTGCCCCAAGTGCGGGAAGCGCATGGTAGGGGAGCTGAGGCCGGTGAATCAACAGGCACCAGATCGAGTGTTCCTCTTGTGCCGCGACTGCGACTATGAGGAGAAAGCAGAATGATGATTGAAGATGCTTGAAACATGCTCCTTTCTGCCACCTCACACAGCAGACACAGGACGTCCTCCTCCTCCTCCTCCTCCTCCTCCTCCTCCTCTCCCCTTCCCTCCCATTGCCGTTGGTCTCCTCTGATGCACAGGCGTCAGCCTCCAGCTGTGAACCGTCTCTTCACCTGCTGTGCCCAGCTTTCTGGTTGGCTCTGTCGCTCTCCTGCTTGAGGACGTTTCTTCTTGGGCATCGACCTGTCAGCACCATCAGGAAGAGAGACATAGAAGACGAAGACTAGAGGAGAGAGAGGATGAGGAGAAGCAGGAGGAGGAGAAAGAGGAGGAGCAGGCGGAGGAGAAGCAATAGGAGGAGGAGGAGGAGAAAGAGGAGGAGGGGAGGGGAGAGAGGAGGTGGGGGAGGAGGGGAGAGAAGGAGGTCACTTGCTCTGTGTCTTCTCAAGGTTCTCAAGGTCAACGCGCATCCCTCCAGCACTTTCAGCAGCTGCTTCTGTCTCTGTCAAGGTCTTGTCGGGTTGGGGGGGAGAGGAGGTCCGTGTCTCTCCTCTGAACACTCTCCTCCTCTGTTCCAGGACGCTGAACTGCTCCAAGTCGATGGCGAGCCTCTCGGGCGACATGAAGCGAAACCATCTCTTCGTGCCCTCGTCTAACCCGATCTTCAAGGAGAGTGACAACATGCAAGTGACGGAGCGCGAGAAGAAAAGACAGGGAGGCGAGGAGAGAGACGATAAGTGATGAGGGTCATCGGGAAGGGGTGAGAGGGAGGAGAAGACAAGCAGAAGAAGGAAGCCAAGGCGTTCTCACATCAGTGAACGTTGACTGCCAATTTGGGATGCCAAGATGCATGACGAGGAGGCGAAAATAGTCGGTGAAGGAATGGGAGATGAAGAACCATCGCTTGCTCAAGTCTTGGAACCAAACCTTTGCGTCCTCTCACTCGCTACTTCTAAGTGTCATCTCTTACCTGAGCGCTCGAAGGCTTCACAAACAGCAGACAGACTTTTCCGTTGCTGCAGCTTCACGCAAGGTCAGGACGACCAACCGCGTCTCCTTTACCTGCTGTCCAGATCGAACGCACGGAACTTCTCTCGAAGGAGGCGGGCCTCTTGGATCAAAGACTATGCAAAGACAAGGGATCAGGCGAGAGAGCATGCGAGCAAGCATACAGGTGAGATGCTGCTGAGGGAATCCGTGGGAGGGAGGAGATCTCCCTGCCTGACCGGCACCAGTCAGCGAAGCAAGGCTCGAGGTCCTTCACCCCATGAGCATCTCCGTCCATGCCGCGTCATCCTCCCAGTTGACTGGCGTCTCGACCATCTGATTGACCGCGTTGATGCTCATGCATCCAAGCGCGAACGTCTCGCCTGCCTCGCCAACGTGAGAGTCTCTCCTCCTCTCCCAGCTGTCACCGTGCAGCCTGGCATCCCATTTGACCAGCAGGCCGTCGGAGATGCTGAGAAACGCCTTGAGGTCCTCGGGCAACGCGCAGGGATGGTTGGAGCGATCCCACGAGTTGAGCGCGAAGGAGGAGACAGCAGCCTTGTCGTGGAAATAAACCTTGGACACCCCTGAGTGACCCTGCGACACTTGAGCTCCTGAACCTCTCGAGAAGCGACAGCCGCACCTCCAAGAATGCTATCACGTTCAAGCTGATCTCGTCAAAAAGTTCCCTTCCCATGCTTCACGACAACCCAACCACAGGCATCCGCGATGCTTGGCCTCACGCGGAAAGAAGGATAGGATTTGCGATGCCCGCAGTTTCACTCACAAACTGAAACATTCCTGCGCCAACAAGGTCACAAGGTTCGAAGTAGATGCGATCAAGGGGGAGATGCAGCGAAGAGTCTTGAAACAATATGGAAAAGTCATGAGGAGCGGGAGGCAGCATGCCAGGAAGTGACAGAGGAGGAGGTCCAATGAGGAAGAAGAAGGCAAGAACGAGGAAGAAGGAAGGAGGAACAAGCGAGGTAGCAGGCAGAAGATAGGAGATACGAGGAAAGAGGAAGGAGCAAGGAGCAAGGAGGAGCAAGGAGAAAGGAGAAAGGAGAAAGGAGGAGGGGCGAGGAGGAGGGGCGAGGAGGAGGGGCGAGGAGGAGGGGCGAGGAGGAGGGGCGAGGAGGAGGGGCGAGGCAGGCAGGCAGCGGATTGCGAGCGCAGTGACAAGGATTTAAAAGGAAAGAGCAGGACAGGTCGCCGCAGCACTATTATGAATTTTCAGGATTGTCTCTTATCGGTTATCATGACCGGTACTTTGGACTTCTGTACATAGGCCTATTTGCCCTCTCATAAAACCACCCTTTCACCCCCATTATGAATGGGATGATGGGGGTAGGGGTATTTGAATCGGCGTGACAGGTGAGAGTTTTACTCGCATAAGGTAGAAAGTGCCTGAAGCAGAAAGCAGGAACTTGGCAAGCGACTCGAAACACTGAAGACCAAGCCTTGAAGGCAGACATCCACATCCCACTAGGTAAAAAGTGCCTCTTACAAAAAACAAGACCAAAAGGAACCAGCACTGCTGGCAACTGTCAGCAGACCCGCCACCGCCAGCCCGGCGGCACGCGCGAAGCCGCGCAGACAAGAAGTACGGTAGGTATGCACTCGCATAAAGTAACTCGCATAGCCTCAAGCAGAAGAAAGCAGCAACAAGCAAAACCGTCAGGCAGAGAGCACACAGCAACAAGTAAAACTCATATCATAGCAAGAAAAGCGGTGTACGTAACTGACCGGAATACAAGTTTGTTAGATTTGTACTTGTCCAAAGTCACGCAGATATCACATCGACCTTAGTTGCAACAAGACTGTTTTTGCTCAAAACCGAGTTTAATGCACACAAAACCAGAATTGAGGAGCACACGAGACTAGGAAAGCCCCCTCTTCGTCTCTGCACTACCATGATTGCCGTCTTGAAAACACGTGAGTCGTCTTTTTACCTTCTGCCAGTAAATCTTCGACTCGTCTTGGTTTACAGGAGAGTTTTTGTTAACTCGGCGCTATCTGACTGGCACGGCTGGCTCAAGCAAAACAAAGCAGGAACAAGCTAAACCTGCTTGCTACCTTCTGCCAGTAAATCATCCCCTTGCTTGCACACAGCGCACAGCGAGAAGCTGCACAATCACACACAAAACACAAGCCCGAAAAGAACCAGCACTGCTGGCAACCGTCAGCAGACCCGGCATCGCCAGCCCAAGCGCGAAGCCGCGGAGAAGACGTCCGAGATGAAACTCCCTTAGACGCGATACCTGGAGGCATCCGACTGACCACTGTCAGTCGAGACGTCCGCCGCCGCCGCAAAGCTGGCGGCCGCGGACGGAGACAGAGCAGCCGCCGACAAGGAGCCCGGCGGCGCTGCCCGGGGGTCCGCCGGGGCCGGCAGCGGACAGAGGGAGGCTGGGCACAGGAGCACGGTACCGCTCGATGTGACGTATCCAGTCTGTTTAGCTTGTTCCTGCTTTGTTTTGCTTGAGGCACTTTTACCTTCTGCCAGTAAATCCGTATCCTCCTCACTAGCCGAGCCTCCGAGTCAGCGGTAGCCGAGACCAACACCACCCGTGACGGTGGCGACGCCGGTGCGGCAGCTACGTCCGCTATGAAGAAGTACATGTTGGCTGATCTGAAGCTAGACATTCAACCTCGCAAATCGAAAGTTTACATCCCCTCCTGGCATCAACACCCTGATCTCTCGCAGCTGAAGAAGAGCCTTAAGCGCCGTCTCAAGACTCAACTTCTTCACTTCGAGGTCGTCACTGGCGGGATTACACTTGGCGGCCTGCCTATCGGCACGGATGGATTTCATTTGCTTCTCGCTGTGCGCTGTGTGCATGCCGGTTTAGCTTGTTCCTGCTTTGTTTTGCTTGAGGCACTTTTTACCTTCTGCCAGTAAATCCTATTAGCGTCATGCTAGTCAGCTCCGAGCGAAGGTTTCTACCCTCAACGAAGAGCTCCAGGGGTCATCTCCGTTTCTCCCGCGGGTCCAGTCACAGATTCGTCGCTTTGACCTCTCTGTCCACCTGGCGCTTGCAGCTTCTCGTGCGCTGTGTGCCCGGAGGTTCAGCTTGTTCCTGCTTTGTTTTGCTTGAGGCGCTTTTTACCTTCTGCCAGTAAATCGGACTACTCCTTGCCAGCAGTGCTGGTTCTTTTCGGGCTTGTGTTTTGTGTGTGTTTGTGCAGCTTCTCGCTGTGCGCTGTGTGCCAGGAGGTTTAGCTTGTTCCTGCTTTGTTTTGCTTGAGGCACTTTTTACCTTCTGCCAGTAAATCCGTGTCTCGACTGTTTTGCTTGAGGCACTTTTTACCTCCTGCCAGTAAATCCGTCTCCGCAGCAATGCCCAGGGACTCGCACTCATAGGAGACTCGGACCGGGGCTGTGCTGCATCGGAGGCAGGCGAGCTCGGACCAGCAGCCGCAAGCACCCCAGTGGTGTCGAGCTCTCC